GCATGTATGTATGGATTAAGTTCAAGATTTCGTGTATTTTCTTACCACATTCAACCACATATACTCTGACAATATTCTAAAATTTATTACTGTATTATATCTTCAGCGCAATTTGAGTAGTCTTTTTCAGCTTGTGTTTGGAATCAGCATGTTTATTTGGAAGTTATAAAAAATAGCAGCAATATAAATACAGAATAAGGGAAATTATGACAACACAGAGGATAATGTAAGCATATATGATGAACCACAGAGTAAAATAATTGCTAGAAGTCTTAATTAGGATGAGCACAGGCAGTCTTAATGAAAAATAGAGGCTGATCAGTACATTAGTTGTCACAGCCAGCCTGATTTAAGCACTTTCGGAGCCACTGAGCTGAAAACGTTTTTAGTGCATAATACAATGGAGAGGTCATTGTATCAGACCGAACATTTTGCGGAACAGCACTATTAAGAGATTTGTGATAACTAGACAGCAGACTGGATTAATGTAGTAGACTCACACCCAAATCTCTCCTAGGCCAGGAACAGAAATGAATGTGGATTGTGGGTCATAGAACAATGTCTGCCACTCTCCCATGAGCAATCTTTTGTAACTGAAAGTCAGAAAAAAACCAGGACTGCAACAGGAGAGACTTTCTCAAGTCATATCTAAAATGCTGAGAGAGGATTTAGTTTAATTAGATCAGTGTTTTCGTTTCTTAAGTGGCATTTCTCTTCCTGTTTATAATATATTTTCCATTGGATTCTGTTTTTTCTTGTCTTTTTGTGAGGTGAATTTGCTGAGAATATGTCTGTGCATGAGAAGTTTATTTTACTGTCTGCCAGCACTGCCAAAGAGAACGCGCACCCATTTTTGTGCTAGGCTTTTGAGACTACCTTAAGTAGCAGCATATGGAATTAAGATACTGCTTTTATTAACAGTGAACATGAAAAATGTAGAACCTTTCAACACTGGACATTTTAGTGTCATGACAATAAAGTAAGGATTTTTTTGGTGTACAGACTTCTCTTTCTCTTTAGTATTTCCTTTGGTTTGGGAACTATGGTTTGTCACTTGACCCATAGTCACATCAGTGCTAGAAGCTGGTACACACAGATCACTGCAAAAATCAAGAGAAGCAGCTAGAGACACCTCCTTGTGTTCCAAACCAGAGTGATGCGGTTGTGCACATGACAGGAGAGAGAGGGGCCACAAGGCTGTGCAGTAGAAGATGTAATTCTGCAAACACTTTCTGGTGAAGGCTCGGGTGGAAGATCCATTACTTGATATTTTGCCCAGGCCGTGCAACCTATTGAAGTAAAACTGCCGTGGGCATAATTCTGTCTTGGGAAAGGGCTAGAATAATTCCATAGGTACTTCTCCTCTCTTCCCTGGTTCTGCGTTACAGTGGTCAGCTCTAGGAAGGGGCAACACGGGAAGCACAGGGCACTCCTCTTGGTGCTGGGACCCCTCTGCTGAGTTAGGGCTTATGGTGATTAAGAGAAAAAACTTCAAACACATTTAAATGAGGAGGAGAATCCCACCCAATTTTACCATGATCATGTTTTTTTGCTTGAATGCCTAGTTTTCCACCCATTTCTACAAATCAAGCAGTTTGGCCTTGATTGTGCCAGTTACCCGCAGAGGTAACACAGCATTTTTGCTGGCGCTGGGGAGAGCAGCCTCCTGGCTGCCTGCACCCATGGCAGTGCCAGCCGGTCTGGAAACACGCTGCCGAGGGAGGCTGAAGGCCAAGGCAGGCACTGAGATGCTTAAGAAACATCTCCCTTTAACATCAGGGCGATTTTTTCCATGCTCTTCTTCGCACTCTTGGCTCCTTTTGTAAAAATGTGCACACTAGGTGGCTGCTAAGCATTAACTAAAAGAAGGCAAAACTGTTTCTCAGGAGGTGGTAGTGAGAGGAGATAATAACGCAGACATTTTACTACTTCTCTGAGCAGAGTGGTGTGCAGTCAGCAGACCAGTTATTTTGCTACCAGCAGTGCACTCCATCCAGTTCCAGTATAGGAAAATATATGTGAGATGGTTTATGTATTTCTAGCTCATTTTAGAGTTTTTACCACATCCTGGTAAAGAGAATACTGAAATAAAGGATTTTAGGAGTATTTTTCTCTCCCATTTGTATGCATTTGTGTAGCAACTAAACTAGTATTGGGAAGGAATTTAGCATATTTCTGTATTTTTTAGTGTTATTTATATGCTATATCATAAAAAGTTCAGTATTGCCTGAAGAGGCAGCTTGCAAAACAATTAAATCTTATTTATCAACAACAATTGATAAATCATTTGTGTATGTAGATTGATACAGAAGACATCTGGCCAAATATTGCATTTGCTGAAAAATTTAATTTTTGAATGATTAAAACTATTTGCAGATTAACATAGCTTTTGTTTAGATTACATTTTTAAAACAAGATAAAATATTTATTTGCTGCACTTTTATTTAAATAATTTTACCACGCCTAAATAAAATTTTTTTTAGATTTTTTTTGTAATTTAATTCTTAGGGATTTTTGAAAAACACTGAAATATAAATGAGTAGTTTTGTTGTGGATGAGTTCCTGCTTTTGACTGAAAAATAATGGTCTTTTATTTCACCAGAAAAACTTACATTTTCTGAAGTAATGGTTTTCAAGCTTAGGAGATTTCTATGATGTTCTTCTCCAGCTAAACTGAAATAGTTTTTTTACAGCTCCAACTACCTGATGAATGCAATAACTGAAATGATTAATACAGTAATTGAAATATTGTGGTCTTACACACAAATACCAGCACAAAATTCTGCTTTGTCTTTCACTTTTGTTTCAAAATGTAATAATTCTGATCTTTGATTTCTCCTGATATTTGTAGCAGTGCACAATTTCTGTCTTCCCAAGTGATTTTAACAATGACAGATATTCAGTATTTGTAAGTAAACACTGAAAATCGCTTGCTTCATTACACTTCTGGCCCATTAAATATCTTCTTTCATCTATCTAATTCCTCTCTTCTCATTGCCTCAGCAGTGTGACTCAATCAGGCATGTGTTATCTTTCCCAGATCCTTTTCTGAACATAGCGTAGTGCACAGGAATGCAGTTTGTCAAACACATTGTGTCTGAAATCCTTTGTGGGGAGAAGTGGAGAGAAAGAGATTATAAAATGCCTCAAAACCTTCAATAAGGCCGTTCCCAGGTTTCTTGTATCTGTTCAGCCAAACAAAACATTCATACCTCACTTCCATGTATAGGGTGGTATAGTATATCATCCAATAGCATCTGTTCTCCAGGCTGTAGTTTACAGAGAATAACTTACTTTGTACTTCTGCAAGTTTTTAGACTCATCAAGGCCAACACAGAGCAGGATTTAGAGGAGAGAAATATATCTATTGCCCACAATGCTGGTTTTCGTAGAGGGAGTGATTTTAGATCCTGGTATTTTGTGTAGGAGAGATGAACAAAAATAGCCACTCAGGCTGGTGACGTGTGCTTTTCATTGCTCAGCTAATATAAACCTTTCTGAGGTAAAGTTGAGTGGTGCAAATAACTTCTGAAGCTGTTAGCGTCTGTTAACCTGAGGGAATCTCTGACTGACTTTCTGTAGCATTTCCTCCTCAGAATTTTGTATACAAAGTTTCTTAGTAGCTGTGGTACACACTAATTTGTGTTCAGTTAAAAACTATTTTGCATGCAGAGAAACTTTTGCTCAAATTCACCATGAAGCCTTGACACTTGATTTCAAGTTTTTGATAGTGTGAGACCTGCCTCAGCCTAAAGGCAGCGTGTGTAGATGCCAGAGGTGGCAGGTATGTTCATGTAGTTTCTGTAAGAATAAAAAGGGAGGACAGTGATAATTTTCACCTTTGGAAGCAAAAACTTTGCAACAGCCCTGAAAAAAAAAATTATTTATGGTACATTGCCACTGCAGGTTTAAGTTGAACATTTTACACTGGAGCTGTTTTGAGAAATTAGCCTAGAATAGGTAGGAGTAGCCATGTTAAGAGGTGACAAATGAGCTGCTGAGTCCATGCTGATGTTGCACGCACCAGTGTTTTGGGGAATACACGCTGTTTTCACAGTAGCAAGATGAGTTACGCTGTGAATTCTTTGTCAGTGTACTCTGAGGGAATTTGTCTCTCCTTTCCAGGTCAGATATCCAAGGGGAAGTCTGGGAAGGCTTTGTAATGCAAATCTAGCTAGCCTTCCTTCACACAAGGAATGCTAGATGCTGACCCATAAGGACTGAGTTCAAGATTTCTGTGAATATGTGGGATTTGAATTAACTCAGTAATGAAAGCCTCTAAGAGCATAAGGTGCATTCAGTATCTAAATCACTGGCATGGTTTAGAAAGCTAAAATTGTCCCTCTGGTTGATACTGCTACTTGGCATAAACATTAACAGGAATCCACCCATGGCATTTGGATGTTTGTTTAACAGCTGGTATGTTTTGTTTAATACAGTCAAAGAGAAAATTGGTAGTAGGTTGGTTGAAGATGGGCTGCACATATGGTGGATGACACAGATAATTGAGATGTATAACAAATAGCGAAGAAACAGATCCAGGCAAAAATGCTCAGATATAATCTTTGGTACATTTTGTGTCTTAGAAAATATAAAGCACATTAACAGCCAAATAAAAATGCACCAGACAGTGACAACCATTAGATTTATACAAGGAAAAAATAACAGTGAGCTCAGTTATTCCATTCTGATAATCACCTGTGGGACAGACAACTTCCTGCAGTATCTGTTAAATCCATGATATTTTCATGAAAGGTATGGGTATGGAATAGTCCTGTGTTTCTGCATGTAGCAGAGACACCCTGTATTCCATAGTAGTACTTATATTTGCCCTAGAGGAAGTTTGTCCTTTATTACACTCTGTTGTTGATTGTGCTTTTGCTTTGTGGAACACATTCCTGATGGAAAATCAAAATTACTGGAGGACTGGGTATGTATAATTATTTTGTAATTTTATTTCAGTACTAATATTTTGCATTTTTCTTTCTTTGTTTTTGCAGAGGGTATGAACTGTATGAACAAAGATCATGGGTGTGCACACATCTGCCGGGAGACGCCCAAAGGTGGGGTTGCCTGTGAATGTAGGCCTGGCTTTGAACTTGCCAAAAACCAGAAGGACTGCAAATGTAGGTAGATGAAGATTAAATTTCAAATGCCCCAAAATGTTTTATTTTCTTCATTGTTGTTATTTTCCATAAGCCAAGAAATCAACTTTGTTTTGGCCAAAGCTGATTTGTAATTTTAGTAATGTGTTTTTTGCTGTCGAAGGTGTACTTGGGATGGATAAGAGGAATTGAATAACAGAATGTTGGCACTGACTCTGTTAGCACAATGGTAACAACTTTTCTACCCTCCTATGAATGTAGAAAAGTAAGGGATCAGTTTCGTCCAGGCTTTCTTTGTAAAGCAAAACAAATAAATCATAGAGGATTCTGGCTTGCAATATTTTGAATTGATGAATTCTATGATGAATGCATCATAGATGCATTGATAAATCTACTAATGGATGTAATGATAAACCCACTAGAGCTATCAAATTAAGGGTGTTAATCCCTCTTTTTTAAAGGATAGAAATGTTTGCTCTAGTTCCAGTTCCACTGTACACAGTCTACTTTTCTTGTTATTACCTGGAAAACATGCAGCTGTATCATATATACTGTTCTTCAAAGAAAAGCCCTGAGTGATGTATTCTCCAAGCTGGGATGCTGAAGATATAGATATTCATGAGCCCACAAAATTGGAAATTGTTCTGTACAGGTTAAAATAATTGACCTTCTGTAACCCAGCACCATCCTCTTAAAGCTTGCAAATTGCATGGGAGTCTTTCTGATGGCTTCAGTGAGTGTTAGATCTGACTCCAATAGCTTGCTTTCCTATGTGGTAGCTTTGTGAGATTCAAAAAAAAAAGGAATTACAATAAAATGACGTGAAACATGTTTTGTGCTTTGCATAGGGCCAGTATTTTTGTGATAGCCTTTCTTCCATTTCAGCTTTTTTCTTCCTGAGATCTCCACTGTGCAAACACACTTAGATGATATTAATTCCCAAGTACAATGTCAAAAGAATCACCTTTGAATGCCATCGAGAAATGCCACAGGATATTGTACGGCCTGATTGCTCCTCGATATTAAGAGGCTACACAGGGCCAAAGGCAAAAGCACAGAGAAAAATTGCCTTTATGGTAATTTTAATTCTCAATGTTTATTAGAAGTGAACATTGCATGCTGTTAATTGCAGTGCAACATCAGCTGCAAGGGTATAGTGGGAGAGGATGTTTATGTTGTTTATTATTTGTTTCCACAAATCTGTACATTCCTTAGTAATTACATTATCCTTTTTCATAGTGAGATGGTGACAGGAGGATTAGAGCCTTTTCTAGAACAATATTTCTAAATGCCTCAAGGTTTAAGAGTGAAAAACTTGAATTTATTCTGTGCCCTGTGGTGTTCAAATTGTAGTTGGAAGTATAATGAACTTTTGCTGACAGACCTCTAAGTAAGGATGCTGAGCTTTTCAAGGCCACAGAGCTTGCTGCAGAGTACACTGACGCCGAAACCCACAGCACATTCTGCAAATACGTTCCAGAGTCCTATTTAAAATAACTGTACTTCTAGCCCTTCCAAATGCAAAGAAGTATAAAGCTGTAGCCAGATAGCCTGGGGCAATAACTGTGAGATTACAGCAGGCTATTTATAAAGGTCGAGTCCTGAAACCAAATCTTGACTTTTAAAAAAACTTCTTCACAGCTAACCATTTCAGAGGAATTGGCTCAAATCTTGAGCCGCAGCTTTGCAAGTACTGAGTACAGCTATGCTGAAGCGCTGAAAAAGAGACACTTGCCCCTTGTCAGCCTGGACTGGGTCTATAGCCCTGCGTACCTGGGACTGGTAGGGTCTGATATACCCCTAGTATATCCCTGTATCTCTCTTCAAGTATTCTGATCTGTCATGGTCCCTCCAGGACACTGTGCCTTTCAGTGTTTGTCAGAGCTTGGTTCTCTGTTTTTTTATGTGAACAAGTGGCAGAGAACCAGTACCTCACTAAATGAATTTTTATCAGCCAGTTTGCAATTGAAACACAATACTGGGAGAGGTTTTCAGATGTGGCCCAAGTCCACTGGTAATGAGATAAGTGTTCCTCAAAAAAAAAAAAAGATGTTAAAATAAGTTAGAAAGCACAAAACATTGGAGGGAGGCTCCCTGCTTTTTATGTATGCGCTACAAGATTGTCACTGCGTCCTAATTACATGATTATATATCACCTGATCATATCATTGCATGCTAATATGGCAGTCACTATTGGTGTCTTGCTTCATTTGGTGTACGTGATGGTCAGTGTTCATTAAACAGACTTTTGTTCAATAGCTTCCTCTCCATAATTCAGTGTCATGCCTTTCCTGCTGCACAGTATTTAAACCCTATTGTGAACATAAAATTTTTAATTTCCTCATGGATTTTCCCATGATACTCATTACTGTAATATCGAAGTGCTTTGTAGGCATTGGCCATGTATTTTCAGACCATTCTTGTCAAGTTAAAAAGTACCGTTTTGCCTATCTTACAAATGGGAAATGAATACAAAGATGTTAATGTCAAAGTCATTTAGTAGTAATAGATGATTAACAAGAAACACCCCGAACCCAACTCAGCATTTATAGCACTTTAGTATGATCAAAGCCAAGCTCCCAATGGCTCCAGCTGTAGTTGCAAATGCCATGGAGAAAGGAATATAATATTAGTAACTTGAATCATAGATATGATTCAAGTGACTTGCCAAGCCCTAAGTAGGAATTGCATGGCAAGGGCAGATTAGAGTTTTTTAGGGCTCTATTCATTGTCTGAACAAGACCATCCTTTCTTGATAGTGCCTTTCTGATTTACTACTCATTCTGCAGCAAATGAGACAAGATTCTCTGGCTGTTTCTACAGACCCAACTTTCTGCAGCTCCACTGTGCAGTGAATAAGACAGGAGTGTTTTCTGCATTTTTCATTAAGGATGGTTATCATGATACAATAAGTCTATGTACCAGAAGTCTGGTATTTTGTAGTTTTTAAGTTTTTAATATTGCAACCTTAATGGTTTCTTAGTGTAAATTTTAAACATGCACTTTCTCATTTACCAAAAAAAAAAAAAAAATCTTGCCCACCATGCTAGGAAAACACAGAAGCACTGAGGCTGGAAGGGACCTCAAGAGGTCATCTAGAAATACAGTAAGCAGAATCATATAGATCCATACATAATTCCTCAGAAAAGCTGCATGCTTTAGATCCAAAGCAGCAGTAAACTACCATCGTCTGTGTACACAAGCCATTAGAAGAATAATATGCTTTGTCAGTGATTTTCATAGATACTTACTGGCAGCAGAAAGAAGTGACTTAGGAATAGTGAAAACAGTGGAAAAACATGGGAAATTATCTCCTCTTTCTATATCTGTACTCATTTTAAGATCCTGCTCCTGAGCATGATTTCATTAGAAATTTTTGATGAACTGAAAGTTTTTTCCCCAAACATGAACAAGTCTATACATTTTTTGTCAATCTCATTATTAGCTTCATCAGTTTAACTGGAACTTGAAAAAGTAAGAGGAAACTTAAATCAGATACACATACCTGCAAGTTGCAACCTAAAAGAAATCATTCTGACAGAGTTATAAACAAGTGAAAGCCGAATCTTTTAATGAAAAATGCTGGATAACTTTAACTACAGCTATTTCTATCTACCCCCCCTGAAAATAATGATATAAGTGAGCAGGAAGACTAGTGCTAAGTAATTTGAAAAATCCTGTCTAGTATGTTTACAATAAAATGCTGTCCCATCTATGCCAAGTGGCAGCTTTTCAGCTCCTGCTGACAGTGTTCTCATGCAACTATTTGCTGTCAGTACAAAGATCTCCAGAATGTTAAAAATGTAAGGCTGTATTAGAATAAATAATGCAAGCAAGGTTGCATGCACAGCTTTATCACATAGAAAGAGATGCCCATATATTTATAGAAATTATATATGTAATGGCCAATTTAGTTAAAAAACAGTGTAATTTTTAATTTATCTGGAATTACAATATGCTGGTTAAAACTGTCGCAGAAAACCATGCTACAAAAAAAAAGATCTGGCTTGTTGCAAATTCTGTGGCATCTGAGTCAATCTACATTTCAGTCCACACGTGAACAAAATCAGGACATCGTTGTCTTAGGGGATTTTTTGGGTTAGTGGGTACTAAATGCTAGATTTAATATTTAGCCATGTGTTTTCTAATACTCCTTGTCATGGGCATGTCAGATGGAAGAGACCAGAAAAAGGATTATATGAAAGTTCAGAGAAGCACTGAAAGCAGGATCTAGCCTGTAGAGTGAGGCTGAATTCTGGTTATTTTCTGTCTTCTGAGGGTTTTAGACTAGAATATCAATATCATTATTTAGTGGAATAAGTACATTAAAATCCCTTTTTTTCTTTAAGACGTCATTCCTCTTCCAGACAGTTGTTTTTTGTCTTTCATCATCAAAATGCCATTTCAAGACTAGTCCATATATTTCTATGGATTTAAGCACTGGCCCACATGCAAAGCTGCGTCTCCGGAATGCCTAGCTCAGCCCAGCCAAACGGAATAGATGCTGCTGCGTATAGCATCGGCAGGTGGACAGTTAGAGAGATTATGCCACTCTACCAGCCTGCAGGCCATGAAAAGTATCTGGCCAGTTCAAGAGCCTAAGCATTAGTCAGCGAAAAGAATTCATCTTGTTTGAAGGCTATTTGAAGCACCAGTGTCAGGGCTTCAGCTCAGGTTGCGCCATAGCTCTTCATTCACAGTAGAAACTGTGTTAGGAGAACAGACTGGTAACTTGGCCACCAGCATTCGACACCTCACATAGATGGTGTGCATCCTTGTAGGGCTTCTGTGCTGTTTCTACTCATGTTCGTAGCCAACACGAGCAAAGCCTTCTCTATGAGATGCTGGTTTTAGCCAGTTGTACAGGGTGTTTCTCCCACTGAAGGAAAGAGCCCAGCATTTTGATTGCACTTAAGACATACATGAATGCTGAAGCGGTATCAAAAGCAATATTGTTACTCTGGTTTTAAATCTGCAATGTGGGGATAAGTATATCTGAGTTCTAATAGATATGTGTATATTCTTCTTTGGTTAAAAAAAAAGAAAAATTACTTACTATTTTCCATCCCTTTTATTCTAACATGATTTACAATATTTGAAGGTGATCTGTGTATTTGAACCTACCATTTTGCCTCTTTTTGTTTGCCTTTGTAATGTCACAGACTCTGAATGACCACACAGCCTTTTGCATAACTGCAGAGTCCGAATTTATGAGAAATAATTTTTGAAGGAACACTTTGGAATTTCTCATTATTTTTGCTTTAATGCTTTCTGACAAAAATGGAGTAGATCTGGATGTCCCCTTGCTTTTAAATAATTTTTATTTTCTTCCTCTAAGCAAAAGAAACTTTTCAGTGTGTCACTGCCACAGAAATAAGGCTCGAAGGAAATTTAAATGACATATTTTACAACTGGATTTTGTATCAATTTCACCTGCAGAGCTGTCAAGCTCCAGAATTTTGGCTCAGGTTGCTTAAAACAATTAAATAAATAAATTGTAGTCTAGACAGAAATTCAAATCCTTTGAAAACATCATTTACTAATATTTGTAAGAGACAGGAAAAGGAACTGACCTACATCTGTGTTCATTGACTGAGTACAACCAGTACTTTAGTATACAGGGAAACTATAAAAGAAGTGTGCGATTCTGCAGGATTTACTATAAATCATCAGTCTACTGCGATTTTTCATAGATCAATATAGTAAGGAAAAGTCCGTCATATTACATGGATTAGAGAAACCATGCTAAGATATTTTCATCTCTGCTAGCAGAGGCTTTCGGGAAGGAATGCCAAAAATAACCTCTGCAGCCAAGTTGTTTAAAATATATACTTTGTTGCTGATTGCACTTCAAAATCCTCAATAAAAATACTGTTAGCTACAAATGTATTTAAACATCTGGCATAAACAACACCTTTAAGTTAATTTGTGATGGCACTGCAGTCCAAAAGGAATAGAAACATTGATTGAACCTCCACGTAGTCCAAGAGGCATACAGGGTCAAGAAAGAGGGGAGGATAGGTAGATGGAAATTACCTTATCCTGGATTAGCTCTGCCAGTGTGTGCCCAGTGCTGTGGATATTGCAAGCAGCTGCCTTCAATACCACTTACTGCCCCTGCTTGATCACATCCCGGACACAGCCGGCCAGAAGAGAGCTCATGTTTGCAGTCAGGCTGCAGCCGGCAGCTTCAACCAACCTCTGTCTGTTCCTCTAGCTCTCAGCTAGGCTGCAAACCAGTATTTCATTTACCTCCAGATTAACCAAGAGGTTACTCTTGAACACATAATGTGCAAGAGTGGGCCACAAGAAAAAGATTAACCCCAAAAAATTGCAGATCAAAGAATAAGCAAAAAGAAGAGAGGTGAATAAGAACAGGCATACTCTTGAGCAAGGAAATGATTTTTCAGCATGACTGCATCAAAAAGGTGGGAGGCTTTAAGAATGGAGAGTTGATGTAAAATTTGAATTTGTTTTGCATCAGAAATAACAGCTAAAATGTTATCATGTATTGAAGGAACAGAAATGTTGCTTCCACTTGATGCAAAGCAGAGTGGTTTGCTTCATGTATTTTTTCACAAAAAGAAATCAATAGCTAAGTGATAAAACTGGAGAAGGAGAAAGAATGCCTGAAGGTGGCTGTTGATTAGGGGGCTTTTCTAATGTAATTCCTTGGAAGTTTAGGATTCTTATGACTTGGGATATGTGAGTTCAATTCCATCCTCTGTCTGGTGGGACTGAACCCACAATGCCCACTTTGCAGCCTAGTGCCCAAACTGTCAAGCTCTAGTAAGGGTATATGGATCAGGCTGCTCTCCATCTCTCTCATTGATATTCTTTCCAATTGGATATTCCTGGGAGGAGAGGTGGGAATCCAAGCAGGCCCTTTTCTCAGGGATTGTTCTTACTACTAGGCCTTGAGTCTATTCCCTCGCTATCTCTGAACAACATAGGGATTTTATTCAAAGTGTACGATGTGAAGGACCAAGGATGCTTGCGCCCGAGGTGGCCTCTGGTCTGTACTCACCTGGGGGATGGACAATTCCTGTTGTGATCTTTGCCAGACTTCATGGACCGTGGATGTAAACTTGTGGTTCTTATGCTGGCAGGAGGTTTTAATGGGGATTCCATTGGGTATGCCGTGGTGGGTCTCCCTCAATTGCTTTTCTTAGAATTGTTCCATTACAAGTGAAATATTTAAGTGGTTACTGAGAGTGGCATGACTATTCAACACTGGTACACTCACACCAGATGTGGGATATTCCAGTTCTAGTTACTGTGACTGAAAATTCCAGTCTACTCCATTTTAAGAAGCTAGCGTTTAAGCAGAGTCACTGAGGTGAGTGGGAAATTATGTTGTCTTAACCCTATAGGATTAGATAGAACCTCAGTTTAGATTTAGATACATGATTTTAAAATCCTGTTAACCATTATCTTGGTTTTACTGTATATTGCGATTTGCTACCCTGGATCTTTTATAAACTCTCTTATCTAGTAGGAAAATTCTGCTAAGACCAGCATGAGGAAGTTCCTCCTGATTAGTAGGACTCATTATTTAAATTACTGTAATCAGTATTTAAGTTACTGTAATATTTCAAAACATTGAAGTCCTCTGGAATGATGAGTATAATATAACTGAACAATGGTATATTGGATTTCCTTTGTATCTGCCAGTATGTATATACTGGTGAAGAACCTAGTCCAAATTACCTATATATAAAGTAAGTTGAATACAGAATTCAGTCAGATAATAATTGTGTCATTCAGCACTAAGCTATGTGACTGCAAGAGATTAAACAGAACATGGGCAATGAGAGGCATTGTTAATGGTGCTAGCCAGCTCAATATTTAAAAACTGGTTTGTCTTAATAGTCAGAAATTAAATCCATCATGTGACAATGGAAATCAAATCTGATCTATTAATTCATGTAAAGCTCAAAACTCTACCTGTCATGAAAAATGTTTGCTTTAATGTCTGTGTAGTATTTTTTCACCAGAGGACATTTTAATTGCTAAAAGCCATTTTGCACTGTGTGCTTGGAAGTGAAAGTGACATTTCCAATGTTTCCATCCCAATTGAGGCCAATGCACTGCAGGGCCATAACAACCGTGTATTTTTTATTTCAGAGAAGAAAATAAAGAAAAACATCTTTCCTGTTTTATTTTTAAACATTCTTCTACTCTAAAAGGACCAGTACTTGAAATAATAGATTTCAAGACTTACATGGTTCTATTCTTGCTGTTTGGTCTCTGCTTCCTCCACTTAAAAAACATGAAGGGGAAAGAAAAGAGAAATGCTCCCTATAGACTTGAAAATATATGTCTGTATTAGTAGACTGCTCATTTCTTCATGCCATATACATCACGGATATGAAGCACGTAGATTTTAGGAAGATGTGGAATTGGCTAACCACTCATACTAACATTATAAATGCAAATAGTCAGGGGAAAAGGTAGCACATGCTTCTTTTTGTTTCTCTTTTTTTTCTTCACTGCATGGATTGAGAGTAGGGTATCAGATGGGAGCGTGGCTAAGATACAGGTAGTCAGAAAGAATAAGAAATGCAAATAACTGCAAATACAAATGTAATGTTGCCTTATGTCTTGGTTTGTTACTGCTCTTCTGTATTCTGAAAAGCCCTCAAGACTAATTGGTTTCATTGTCATTTTATTTATATATACATATATACACATTCATTTGGGGCTTAACTAGTAACCTGTAACTATGGGAATGGAGGCTGCCAACACACCTGTGATGACACAGATACTGGTCCTGTGTGTGGTTGTCATCAGAAGTATGCCCTACATTCAGATGGCCGAACCTGCATTGGTAAGTACTTCTCTGCAGCACATTTTATTTCATATTCCTCATAGAATATGTATGTGCACATATGTATGTGTGTGTGTGTGCGCGCGTGTGTGCGTACCTCAGAGGCATTTAGCATCATTGCTGAGAGAAGTCTATAACAGCAGTTCCTGGCCGTAGTAGCTAAGGTCACGCTATACAGAGAGAAGCATTTGTGCGTGTTTTCTGAAAATGTTTGTTAATGAAGTATCCCTTTGTTATTCCTTTGCAACTTTTATTTCTTTTCATAACTCTAATAATTTTTGAAGTAAAAGGTTGTAGAACATTCATGATTATGAATGAAAGTTCAGTTGTTCTGTTCACTTTCATGAGTCAAGACTTCCTTGCGTAAGCAAGGTGAGGAAAATGATCCTCTTTTCTAAGCTGTTATCGGGGAAAATTAATCATCAGGATGTGCTTTCTTCCCTGTTGTATGTATTATGATTCTAAAAATTACAGCACTTGTGGTGAATAAGCTTTGACGGAGGTTATTAGTAGAAAAAAAAGCTGTTCAAAAGATGGAGCATCTTGGGAGATGCTGTGCAAACATTTATGACTATAAAATATATTATTTGCTTAACACCATTTCTTTCCACTCTGCTTTTTTTAAAATAAAAAAGGATATTTTTGCATACTGCAAGTTAAAATTTGGAAATTCTTACTCACACATCAGAACCTAAAATGCATAATTGTTTTCAGTAGCATTGTGGTCATGTTGACTTTTTTTGTTTGTTTAATTTCAAATTCTTACAAACTCCTAGTAATTTCCTAAGGTTAAAAAAGAATGGATATATATCTATCATCTTTTCTCTCCTTTATCAATACTGCAAGACAGAGCACTTGAAACCCATGGAAATCTGTCAGTTATCTCTAGTGACCCCTTGGTCAGATCCATGGCATAAAACTCTGTGGCTGCCCAGAGCCTCACTCACTTCTGATGGGTCTGACGGCACAAACTGTGTGGTAGGGTGAGGGTTATGCTGGCAGAGGTAGAGCTGAACAATGTTCAGCACTGGACTCTGCCTCTCTGTATACACCAGCTACGTCTCAGCTTACAGGATCTCTCAGCTAGTACTTTTGATTAACACGGAGGGCTCCATCGTACAGTCCCTCTGTTGAAATAACCCTTGCTGAAGCCTGTGGCAGTTCCAGATGCAGAGAATTTGCAAGAGCAAGGGCTGTGAAAGCAGGTGTTATTGAATGGATAATTGTTCTTCTGTTTATTAGCGTTCACTAATATCCTTGGGTTGATGTTTTATTTTGTCCAGCATGTAAAAATTATTTTAAAAGCTGTGTACACTTTTAACTTTTTTTTTCCATTTTTATAATGTAATACATAAAACTCCATGTTACATTCCTTGGTCTTGTGATGTAAGTCACATATTACTGCCTGTGCTGATTTTCTTCCCTCTAAGTAGTTCTTTCTCTTAGAATACTTTTAATTTTTTTTTTTTTTAACATTTTTATTCCTGCTTTCTGGTGATGGTTCCTGATTGCCTGTCTTGTCTGATAACTGACGTTCATTAATTATTTACAGAACAAAATAAAAAGAAACTCAAACAAAAGCCTCTATTGCAGCCTGATCCCATCTAGAACTTGTTAAAAACAAAACAAAACAACTTCTTATTACCACTCAACCATGTAGTGTTGCCACAAACAAAACCTGCCAGCCTCCTCCTCCTCCTCACTTCAGTGATTCCAGTGTTTGCTGTCTTCAGTGGTGTATATATATTCCAGGCATCACTGCAAGAATGCAAACTTCTGCAATGCCAGATAAATACTTGTTGACCCTTTGTCTAACATATTTTGTCTTTGTTTGCTTGACTTATCCTTATTTTTTTTTATGTTTGCTGCATGTGAAAGTCCCCACTTGCATTTTGGTTTTTGTTTTCCTAATAAGTATTTCGCTCTCTGTATAAATCATTTTATTTACCCAGCTGCTGCTTCTCCATTGCTCTTCTGTATCAGAAATCTTTATTATTTCACTTACTGATCATCTCTTCCCACACTTGTGACTGTTTCTGTGTATTTCTAATGAAGCATAACCAAACTAAAGCCCTCATTATGCTGTATGAAACTCTTACATGTAGGATATCAGAAACTGCCTTGTAAAATGACCTTTGCTGACATCATCTTGCTTACTGCATGCTTATAAAATTACTAAATCCTGTTCTTGCAACATCTTTCCTAGCATTGAATGTTTAGCTAGTAGTGTTTCATAGACAAGCAGGCAACCAGCACTGCCCAAATTGATCTTTTTTTGTGTTTGGTTTGTTGTTTGTTTATTTTTCTTGTTATTTTTGTTTAATTTGCATGCTGCTGTTTGGTTTCTCCTCACGATGTGTCAATGTGTACAAGACTATGGTGCATCCGTACCCATCCATCACCGGACTCTTCTAGCTCTCTCTGTCTGTCTCGGTCTTCTGCCTGCCACCTTCAGATCCTGGTGCCACCATTAGCCTGAATCACTTTACAGTTTGTCTTTGGTAGCTTGTTTAACTAGCATCCCTGAATTTTAATTTTCATCTTTAACACCTCTCAGGGGCACTCATGTTAGCTGTCTTGTTCTCCAGTAGGAATCCAGCTTCCTATATGTGGTTAATTACTTCATAGTTGACCATTCTTCCTCCTCCCCCTTTATCTTCCTCCTTTCCCTAAACACACTTTAATTTTTTCCTGGGGTCTCAAAGGGAATTAACTCTCTAACGGGGATTTAGTGCTTTCATGCCTTGCTTCTTGGCTTTGGCTGTGCCATGCCAAGAAACTGTCTTAGGCAGTGGAAAATTGGGCTTGTGATTAACCAACTGCTCCATGTTTGTCCCTTACTTGTGTTTTAGAGAAGGATGAGGCTGCAATTGAGAGTTCTGAGTACAATGCCACGTCAGTAGCTGATGTGGACAAGCGGGTGAAACGGCGGCTACTTATGGGTAACACTTTTCTTCCACTTCCTTTGTTGTGCTCTCACTTTTGTCTGTATGTGTGTGGGGGGGAGGTTCTCTTTTGGTCTCATTTGGTCCCTTTGGTTTTGGTTTGGTTTGTTTTTTTTAACCTGACTTCATCTGTGTGGAAAGGTCACCAATTTTGTTAAGTTCTCATCTGTTGTACGACTTCATTTCTTGTTTTTAAACTTTTTTTTTTCCTAATGCTGCAGCTTTAATATTCAATTTCTTCTGCATAGAAAGAAGCTTTTGCCATTAATCTTACTTACCTTATGCAAACTACTTCTTACATGTGATTTGTGTGTTTGTGTGTATGTGTTGCTGTAGGATTCCTGAAAAATCTCATGTTGCAGACCTGTCTATTGACTTAAAAGTGGCTGATGATGATGATGATGATGTAAAACAATGTTCTATTACATATTGGTGTTAAATGACCAACTGTATTTGCCTACTTAAAATTTGCAGTACTTTTGATTGAAATGTAAATATTATGACTGGAAATTCATTTATTTCCTTTGTGCAGCTATGTAAGTAACCACTGAAAGATCTTTCC